GCTGGACGACCGGGTCAGAACATCTCCAAAAACAGCAGGTCTTGTAGGGTTTTCTCTGTATGCAGCGGTTAGTAAGAACCACAACAAATGCAGGGAAGGACAAATAGTGATCCAGCAACAGGGTCATTGATGAATACGGTGAGCAAAAGCTGCTGCAGCACAAACGGTTGACACCCAGTTAAAGCAGTGAAAACAGAAAACAGAAGCTCCATCACGACAAACATCAGATGCTCAGACTTTAAACCAGCCTTGAGGTTTGGTGGAAGTCAGCGCCGACTATTACCTTTTTATTTATTGTCTACTGATTTTATTTATTATCTAACACTAATGGACTTTAAGTTTCATATTCTTTCATGTATTTATTACTCTGTGTTCTAAGTATCCATGCTGACCTCTGTCCATTACTGAAAGTGCGGACATTTGGTACGTGAACAAGGGAAGAAGGTGACTTGGTCTGAAGAGTCACGTTCTTTATTGCATCATGTGGGTGCATCGGTGTTTATGTGGGGAAGAGATGGCAGCAGGATGAACTACGGGAAGGAGGCAGTGTGATGTTCTGCTGGGAAACCTTGGGCTGACTTGTAGCACCGAGCTAAACACTTCTTCAGACCACTTCCTGGGAACAGTATTGGCTGATGGTAGTGGCCTCTTTCAGCAGGATAATGGTTCCTGTCTCACTGCAGACTTTGTTTAGAAATGTTTTGAAGAACAAGAGTTCAAGGTTTTGACTTGGATTCCAAACTTCTTAGGTGTCAAGCTGATCGAGAATCTGTAAGATGTGCTGGAAAAACCTGACCGATCCATGGGGGGCTTCGCCTTGCAGCTTCCAGGACTTAAAGGATCTCCTGCTAACATCTCGGTGCCTGAAACCGCGGGACGCCTTCAGAGATCTGTTGTCAGAAAGCCGCTTTTCATTGACCTAACTCAGGGGTCAGCAACCCGCGGCTCCGGAGCCACATGTGGCTCTTTCACACCTCTGCTGCAGCTCCTTGTGGCTTTGGAAAATAAATAATAAGTATTTAATTTAAATTTTTTATTTATTTTTTTCATTAGTTTTTAAAATGTAATTCTAAACTTGAAGATTATGGTGATCTTGTAACATTAAAATTAAACGTGTTTAGTTTTTTATCATTCAAAACATGCATAACACCCGCTGGCACACGCAGTGTCGGCAACTTGTTGACTTTCTCACTAAATCTGACGACTTTCCAAATCCTCTCGGCGGCTCTTCTTTGTCAAAAGCAACTAGTGACAAATCTAGTGACTCTTTCAGGTGTTATTGGAGACTTTTCTGGTGTTTTGGAAAATCTGACGTATGTATTGTTCTGCAGTTACTGTCCTCAGCGAGTGGCGGTGCTGTCGTGAGCTCCCAAAGTGCTCACAGGCGCTCAGGAGTCTGGTCAGCAGTCCCAGCTGCAGTCAGCAGGCCAACCAGACGCCATTTTTATTTCGCTGCAGGTGGATGATTTAAGTTTGACTTTTTATTTCATAAATACAAGCAGGATTAGACATTAAGTATTTTTTATCAAAGAAATCCTCAACCCACTGTCTTTTTTTTTTTTTTTTGGAGTTCAAAATGTTTTTGCTGCATTCAGAAATCAAATTTTGTTTTCTTTGTAGCAGTTCATTGATTTCATAAATGCAACACGCTACAGTTTTTTATACATAACATAAAGGCAGAGAACGATATATGCAGTGTTATCTTCATGCTAGATGTGAAAAGGTTTTTGTGGCTCCTTGTGTTTTCTTTTCCGTGGTAAACCAAATGGCTCTTTGAGTGTTTAAGGTTGCCAACCCCTGACCTAAACAACATTAGGCAGGCGTTATGGTGTCTTGCCTCACTGGCCTCGTATTAAATTCAACCAACATCAGCTTAAACTCTCACGACAGTTACAAGACAACTCTAAACTACTTGTAGTTTTCTAACTGTAAGTGTTTTTGTTTCCTCTGTTTTCCAGGACAGTGTTTCTGTTTCCTCATCTGGACTCTTACTCAGCGTTGCCTCATGAAGCAAACTGCCTCTGCTGTGGGGGGTCAGACCTGAATGTGTTAGCGTTAGCACAGCAGAGCAGACCATGCGTGAGTTCAGGGTCAGCACACACGACAGATGAATTAAATTACACAATATATAACCTAAAAAGCCCATGTCGAGCAAAAGAGGGCAGGCTGGAGAAAGAAGAACAGAAAGAAGGCAGAAATAACGAGAGACAGAAAAGATGAAGGGCAGCCAACCGGGGCAGGAGGGGGGAGGAGGACGACTGCATATCTAAGAGACCACAATACATAGCTTTGTTGAAAGAGAAAATAGAAAATATGAGACAGAAAGAGGAGAAGGATTGGGACAAAAAAGACAAATAGACTCTTGTGATGTGAGAAAATAAAGCAGGAGGAGATAAGAGGAGGCAAACCAGGACAAACTGTATTTCTAACAAGAATCAGAAAATTAAGAGAGTGGCAGAGCGCAGGAAGAAGAGAGAAGATAAAGTCTGCTTGGAGCTTTCTACACTGTCAGAGCTCTTTTCAGTTTCTCTTTAAGGGATGGCTTTAGGTCCCTCTCACTGAGCTGTGGTCTCTGGTTTGGATGACAAAGCGTCTCTTAAAGGTGGCAGAAGGTTTTTTCTAAAGATAATGTCTGTGAAGATTCTCAGTCATCCAGGTCGTGCTTAGTTTAATCGTAGCAACTGGACTTGCTTGAGTTTCTTGAAGATGTTTCACCTCTCAGCCAAGAGGCTTTATCAGTTCTGACTGACTAGTTGGGAGATCCAGATACTTGTATTCTTAAGAAGCCATTCGCACTTGAGATTATGAAACCTCTTGGATGAGAGGTGAAACGTCTTCAAGAAAGTCCAGTCGCTACGATTAAACTACGAGAACTAAAGATAATGTTGACCTCCAAAGTCTTACGTTAGGGCCTCTTTAGCTTCTGTAATGCAACATATTTCTGAGTGAAAGTGAGCATGTGTAAAGCGGTTCCTCTTTAACCTTTCGGACTTGATTGGATGCTTCAAACGTGGGTTTGACTACAAATAATACAGCAGCAAGATGTAGCTGTAGCGAAAGCCCTTTTTAGACGTTGCATATGTAACGTGGGTGCTTCATCAATCTGTTAGTGACAGAAAGTGTGCAGCTCTCTCACAATGGAGACGCTCTGATGGATCCTGCAGCTGTTTGATGATGAGCTTATTTAATAATCTCAGAGGAAAGACTCCTACAAACAGCTCGAAGCAATAAACTGAATGTTTTGTCAGTAACAACCTGAAATGCATTCATTATGGGTGACTCTCATTAATCTCACTTGTCTTGGTTTTTATGAGAGTCGAGCAAAGTGATGAAGGTGTTTTGTGATTTTGACACTCAAGCTGTATCTTCTAATCTCTGACGTTTCTGAACCAATATTGGAGATAAATGTGGAAAAACCCTTCCCCCAAAACACTTCAACACAATCTGAACTGCCGAATTGCCCGATTGGCATGCGGTTCAGGCTTGTGCAATGTTCAAAATAATCCAACATAATAGGATAGTTCTTGTGAGTTCTAGAGAAAAGTAAGCGGGGTGCTCATTTAGACACGAAGCCGACATGTTGAGATGCTGTAGGATTTACAGAAAGGAGTGTCATGAGGTTGACAAAGGGTTAATGTTAACACACAGGAAAGAACAGGAAGAATGGAAAAATTACACTTCAATCATTCTCTATTGAAAATATAAACTAAGTTTTTGCCACCTGAGACCTAAACTCGCACCTACTGCCGTTTGATAGCCTCTTGTTCCGCTAGCTTTTATGAATGACAAGCTGATTGTCCCCAATCACATTGGAACACATGAATTTCTCCATACGTTTTAATATAAGTTCCAACAAAACAGTTCAATACTTAGCAAAGAGTAAGAACAGGTTTTAAATATAAAAAAAAGATAACTGACACAAGGACAGAGGTTTCAGAAACCCTTTTTTTTTATCCACAGTGTCTTTAAAGCAGCTATAATCAATATTTCTATAATAACAATGCATCAAATGTGAAATGAGTCGCTTGTGGTAATGAGCTGATAGGGAATTATATCTGGAAACTGCAGCTGGAAACTCTATTTTTCCATTTTTCATTCATTCAGAAGTTGGTACAGACCAAAAACTAAGAAAAAAGAAAGTGAGTATTGGCCCTGTGGTCACCACCTCCATAAACAGACTCCAAATAAAGTATAGTGTTGCTCTGTAACTAATGGATGTGTCTGTAATCAACTGTTAACAATTAACTAAAGATCCAATATACTGCCCTGTGAGTTCATTCAAAGGATTCAGTCTTTCTGGGAGAGTTGGAGACAAATGTCACAGAAAAAAGAGAAAGATTTGTAGAAATGTAGTCGCAGAGAGATAAACAGAAGGAAAGATGAAAAGAAGGAGGAGGGGATGGACTGCTCTGAGAGATGCAAAATGGGGAAAGAGAAGGAGGCCGGATGGATGGATAAAGTATTTCAGCAGCCAGATGGGGATCCTGATGAGAGGTGAGCCATATGGTGATGATTCAGCATGGCAGCCTGACAACCTCTGGTTTAACCCGCTCACACACACACACACACACACACACACACACACACACACACACACACACGCACGCGCATGCACACACCTGCCATGCATCAAGTCTCCGAGTCCAGCCCTAACACATGCTACAGCGAGCAGCTACCATCCATCACAGCTGTAACTAGACAGAGATGCTGCAGCAGAGCGGGAGCCAAGATTTAAACCAATCAGGTTGCAGCGTCCGTGTCCACCGTCTCACCTGCTAAAAAACAATCTAAACTCATTCAGTTTATATTGTCTTTGACCTTTATACAGATGTTTTGCACCACAAAGTGATTCTGCAGATCACAAGAAGAGAAACTAAATGCTTCCTTGTGTAATAAACTGTTTCATCTGAATGTTAGCGGCTTTCGTACAACAAAGGTTTAGATGTCCTTACATGCCTTCTGCAGATACATTTGTGCAGATTCTCAGGAGCGTGCTGTACCTTGTCTGAGCAGCAGCAGCAGCTTTCCTCTCTCCAACTCCAGACTGAGGCCGAGTCCGTCCCGTCCTTCCGCCTGCAGCAGCGTCCCAGAATTCCTCAGGGTTTTAAACTTCAGAGTAACAACATCTCTGGACGTCCGCCTCGGCCCGGGAATTCTGAACACCAGACCGCTGCTGCCGCTGCTGCCGTCGAGACTCACCACATCAGAGGCTGAAAGGCAAAATAAAGCAGAGATGGAGCATAAATCAGTGTGCTGCAGTGTGCTGCAAGAGAGCAGCGACGCATCCAAAGCAAGACATCGGCATGACCTCAATAATGCATTTGTCCTGAGCACAGAAGACATGTGTTGTAGTCTTTCGCTGTTGAGAAATACTGTCAGACTACGGTAGTCCACGGCAGATAATGTGTTTCAGAGCTGTGAATTACATGAAATCTTTCAAGTACACCATGAAAAAAAGACATAATTGTAGATTTGCCTGATGGTGAGATAAAGTCTTTTTATTTTTTTTGCAGGACGAGATCTGTATTCTGCAGAGCACACTTAATATAAGTATAGTACCTTCACTCTCGCTTTCTTGGAGGTTTGGACCGAGCTGCCTTGGCATGAATCCACATGAGCAGTTTGTCTGTGAGTAAGCGTGTGCAAAGGAGCAATGAGGTGTAAAGACTGTGAACCTTGTGAATCCTAAAAGAGCAGCAGCTGACTTACCTTTAAACCTGAGCACGCACACCATCCAACAGGTTCATCAGGGCTTTTATCCAAACACCGTGGTTTATTCTAACTACAGATAAAAGCTGGCAGCTGTGATGCTCTGTTACATAATGAACGCAAGCAAAAAGCACAACGATGTGAAAGTGAAGGTGCAGATCTGTGACACAACTGAAAGGAAAGCAGAGTTTATGCTGTATGGACATATAGATACATTTTATTGCATGTGATTTAATATATCACTAATGTACGACATGTAAGTATACATATGCAAGCAAATATTACTTGACTGAAATACTTTTCTGACACAGAGAGGAGCTCTATTAAAGCTGTTAAGTTATATTATTGTAAAATGGAAATATGACTGATCAGACAATTTTGCCAACTAATATATTTTTCTATCACATATTTGTGCCATTTTTTTAATATAAAAACTGCTTTAAGTGCATGACTTTTAATGTAAACATGTGAATTGACGACAAATGATTTTTGAAATTGAAACATCACACATGATGATGAAATATTTAATGTGCAATATGTCATTTTCCATTTGTGATGCTACTTTACAACCTCAGCATCACTGTCAGTATCACTATTGTAGCCTTATTTTAGCCGACTTTCTTTATTTTGTGTTGTACTTATATCTTATTGCTTTTCTACTAAGCACTGCATTTCCTAATTTTATGGTTATTTTTTGTTTTCGGAGCAGTATCTGGATAAAAAATTCCCTTCACGATCAAAAAGGTTTCATCTGATTTTATCTTAAACGACTGAAGAAACGCTGTGACTGATGCCGTGGTCATTTCCTCCAGATGGATACAATTAAGAAACTGATGCATGCAGTGATTTTACTGTATTTATAACTGATGAGAGTTGCCGTTTTCAAAACATCTGGTATGAAATCTGAAAACAGAAGGCGCAAGAGTTAACCATATGTTGTTGTTGTTGGTTTTTTTTTTTAAGCGGAGTGCGACGTGGGCTTATTTCCACTTTGTTGATGCCAGTTTTAATACTGTTAATCCTCTGTGAACGAAACAAAACAGAAATGGAGCCAATTAAACTGTTAACACAGTATGTTTTCTCACCCAGTTTCTGGCTTCTGAGAGGAACATGCAAAACGTGACGGTTGTCAGTGTTGATTACTGAGGTGAGAATTAACAGCACGGGGAGGGAGACAATAGTTGGCAGCGTTCGGGCTTCTTGGTGCATGAAAATACAAAAAACTAATAATACAACGTGACAGCTGATGTGCTGCTGTCTCGACTGTGGACAAAGAAAGTAAATCAACACGTCCAGTGCACTTGCTTTAAACGTGTGAAAACTGCAGAACCAGAAAATGCAAATATTCAGGGGTTACAATACAGCACTGACTTAAATTGCTGTTTAGGACTTTCAACATATTTACATGCAATTTTATGCAATACACAGATTCAGAACATGAATTTCTGTGAAGCTAAAAGAAAAATGAATTACAGTAAATAGAAGAAGCTGATGTTGCAACAAGATTGCTGGTTTACTGGAGAGTCAGATGTAGAAATAAATGCTTTTTGCTGAAACCTTATACAGCAATTTTAGTCAAATGCAACAATCTGAGATTGTGAAATGAAAAATGTTGACAGAAACGCAGCATTTAATTTATTTATTTTTATCGTTTGGTGACTTTCTCTTCAGTCAATCCGTTGTGACGCTGCGTGCAGCTGATTTCTCGTTATTTTTATTTTAATTATGAAAAAGCAATAGTCCATCTGCTTTCTGAGCAAAGCTGGCTTTTATAGACTGTGAATCAATTACTTTTATCACAACAAACTCTAATTGAACACTAAAAAAGTGGTTCTGCTGGTGTCTTAAATATGTTGCAAAATAATCCTTCTTATCCAAATTCAATATTCCTCCTCTGTTGTTTTTCTTTTTTGCTTGTTCTAATTTCTTTGGGTTTCTTTTGTTTTTTCTTTCTGGCTCATGTCAGAAACAATCCTCTGCTGTAAGTGATCCTCCAAGAACGCACCATTGATTTATTAATATGAAGCATATTTGATCCAATAAACTGAATGTCAGGTGTTCCAGCTGCTTGGCTGTGCAGCCTGAGTTGCTATGGTGATGCAGATTTACATTCATATGAAAACACTGCAGAGTCTCGGCAGTACTTTGAAAAAAAAAAACAGCTTACTGTAAGGACATCCGTAGGTCTCTAGCCGGAGTCCGATTCGCCCGTTGGGGTTCCAGTCCAGAGGAATCAGGCGGAGGAAGCGAGCGATGGCCGGCTGCTGCAGCTTGTGCTGAACCACACTGTCTGCATTACTGTTACCTGGAAAAGACTGAAAACACACAAACACAATGAAAACAAGGCTGCATTTCTTTTACATGAAAAGGACCATTACACATGTATTGAGTTCATTTATTTTTCAATTTATGGATCCACTCTGACCACTGTACTTTCTTTTTACTGCACCTTCAGATCATTGAGTGACTACTCTTCTGTTGCCAACAGGACATGCATCATTTTCAGTGTATTTGCATCCGTCACCGCCAAAGGACACTGGAATATAGCAATACAGCTGTGCAAATACAATGAATATCTAGAATTTTAGCAAGACAAAGTGTCTGCTGTCACCTTTGCAGCACTGAGAGGTTGCAATGAGGCACAATGGGAACTTTGGAGAGCTAACATGCTAACAGTGACAAATAATGAGCAAAAGTTTACACACACTTGTAAAGACCATGTATATCAAAGCAGTCTTGAGTTTATAACAACTTCTATGACTCTGAATTTTCTGTCTATGAAATCATTGAAACACATGTCACAAAATAATAATGCATTTTAGGTTTTCATAGACTTATTGTAGGTCTTCTGAAAATCTGCAGGTCAAAAATATACATACAACAACGGTAATATTTGGTTACACATCTCTTGGCTTTACACCTCAACTAGGTGCTTTTGTTAGCTTCCATGTGACTCTGCTGGCTTGTTCAAGTCATTGATTTCATTTTTTAGATCCTTGTTAAGCTCCTCAGACGGAATATGTTTGAGTCTAATGAGTGCATGAAATGGGTCCCAACTAAACTGGCCAAGAGGAGTCAGCAGCTGTAGTCAATCGTGATCAATCACAAGAAGTTAAGAAGTCACTCAGAAAATTTGATTACCGCAGCTTTCTACATTACCATCCATCCATCCATCATCTATAGACCACTTAATCACTGGGGTCGCAGGGGGCTGGAGTCTATCTCAGCTGACTTAGGTTGAAGGCAGGGGACACCCTGGACAGGTCGCCAGTCTATCACAGGGCTACACTTAGAGACAGACAAACTCATATTCACAATTTAGAATCACCAATTAACCTCAACATGTTTTTGGACTTGTGGGAGGAAGCTGGAGAACCCAGAGAGAACCCACACTGCAGGGGAAGAATGTGCAAACTCCACGCAGAAAGATCCTCACAAAGACGCCAACTGGCGACCTTCTTGCTGTGAGGCAACGGTGCTGACCTCCGTGCCACCTTGCAGCCCCTCTACATTACCAAAACTGATTATTTGATGCTGTTTGTATATTTTTGACCCAGCAGATTTTGTCATATTTCCAGAAGACCTTTAATAAATCTATTAAAGAATCAAAATGCATGATTGTCTCAATGATTCCATTATAGAACATTTTGAATTATAGGAGCCAATGGAAACTCAACACATGGTATTTAAGTGTATGGAAACATTTGTTCACAACTGCAATTTCAACCATTTTCACTATCAAACACAACTGATAGCTGAGACTGATGGGAGTGCAATAATTAGACCGACTATTTCATTGTTTTCAGAGATGTTCTTCAGGTTTCCCGTAAGCAGACAATGAATGCACCAACTAAATGATAACTTTTGGCAACTGTAGTGTACATCAAAACATAACACAGGAAGAACTGTACAAATAATTGCCACCAGATACTCCAGGGAAAATAAAATTCAGTGGCAGTTCTGAGACATGTTATGCAATATCATAAACGTCAAAGTTATGGTGTTGCTACAGGAAAACTAGAGGATCCAAACCATGAATGTCTGCACAAACTTTCAGTGACGATCCATCCAACAGCGCCTGGGATTGAGACAACCCTAACCCAAACCAAACAAGCCATTTTTCTTGTGATATTGTTCTGGATTAACAAAATCTGAAGCACAAACATAAAACCGAGTCTCTTCCTGACTCTGGGCCAAGTGCCTGATGGGTTGTTCTTCATCTCCTTCCATCTCTCCCATCAGGCGATCTATCATAATTACATCCCTCCCTTGAAGTTGACATGTAGGTTAACTGGCTCTCCCACTGCTGAGAAGAGCTTAGACACATAATTAACTTATAAATTCCTCTGTAATCATGAGAGAGTTTGAGCTGCTCGTACCATGAAGAGAGACGACGCCGTTTAACTTGATGCGATGTATGTTGTCTGTATTTGTGTCAGGATCAAATTCACACAAATGGTAGAAGACACAACATATTACAATCTTAAAAACAGCAAATATGTGTTTGATGTATGTGTGTGTGTGTGCTGTAGTTGCACTGCACAGTTTGGGGTCATAAATTAGAATTCATGGGTTACGGGTGAGTTTTATTTTTGGACCAAACAGCCGAACACAGTTTTTCCTCTCAGCTGATGAACCAGAAATGACTTTGAGGACAGAACAGCATCTCATTATACCTTTAGAAAGTAGGAGTCCTTTCTCGTAGAAACTCACTTTTGCCCGTAAAAGCGGTAAACAATTCCTGCGTTCGTCGTGTTGACATACATCTCATCCTGGACTCGGGATAGCTGACAGCGCCTTTGTTTCGGCAACATTTCATCTATATGAAATATTGCAAACATGTGACAGAACAAGGACAAAAAGAAGTGATGGTGATAGTTGTATTTTTCCTTTCTTCATTCTTTCCTCCTCAAACTTGAAAGCAGAGAGAGAGCGAGGTGGGAAGACAAATAGGAAAAGAGAAATCTTTGCTGGCCTTCAGCCCAGTGAGCTGAAAGCAGAGGCAGAAAACAGGTTGTGGTTGATCCAGCAGCTCCGCCGTCAACTTTTCTCCGCTGACAGACTCTTTAAGCCCGGCTGACAAATTCACAGAAGTTCAGAGTCACTTTGAAATGTGACTGGGATTGTGTGCAGTTTATGTAAAGCGTCGGATCAACATGTTTTTAAGCTGACGAGCCGCTCTCTGCTCTCTCAGAAAAGACCCTCAGTGCTGAGATTAGCTGGATTCCCTCCGCAAGAGGAAATTGCCTCAGCTCCGACTTCTAATCAAAAGCTCCTCTCTGCAGCGCTGTAACAAATGTGGCTTCACCCCGGATAAATGTCCACGCTCATAGTGGGCGACTATACCACTGTTTAAATGTTTGTTGCACTGTTTGGTATTAAAGCTGCTGGAGACATATTTAGAAGTGGCTCAGTGTGCTGACAGGATGCATCGCTGTTTCTCTTACTGCACAGAAACCACAGCGGGACAAACACAAGTGATGCTTGTGCAAAGTTAAAACACCGAAGAGGAGTTGTGTGTGTACGAGAACGCATGAGGTGACATCTCCCTGCCTCAGCTGTCCTTATGACTGATTTCTTCATTAATCAGCAGCACAGACGTTCCAGATTTCAGGCACACCCATGTGAAGCCACATCCTTCTTACATAATGCACGCCTTCAACTCTGAACAATACGCCACACATGATTTATGCACATCTAACCTTGTCGAAGTAGGTTTTTATTTACTCCAAAGACAACAGCAGGCATCTTTATTTCTTATGCATAAACCAGAGGATAGGTGGTGAGAGTTAAATGAAAGCTCTCTTGTCTGTAAGCTGAGTACACGAAATCATTTTAAGTTCGTTCAGTTTAGAAAAGTTTAAAAACGAACTGAACTTGAGAAAACAATTTAATAAACTAAAGATATTCGGTTGCATCAGTTACTCACATACACTAGTTGGTTACAGACATACTTGCTTTCTTTTCATATTTTCCATGTTTAAAGCTTCTTAACTTGAGTTTCTTCTTCATTTCACACTGAGAACTTGCAGAATCAACTGATGAAGCCATTTTTGACCAGAGTCAAGACGATCTGTGAGGCTGCTGAGATAAATGATACGTCCTCATTTGTACAAACTGAATTCAGTGTAACCTTTGTCATAATTAGGATTGTTTTGAATATTATTACCATAACTAAATTTAATCTGTTCTTCTTTTTTTGTTTGTTTTTTAACTACACAAACCAAGAGTCTCTTCTAACTCTCTAACAACGTATTCCAGGAAGTCTGCTTATATGCTCAAAGAGCCTTTACTGATTTTAATTTCAGTTTTTAATTCTGCTTTTACCTTTCTTTTATTTCTTTTAACCATGTTCCTAACTCTTTAAAACTGTTGGATTTATACACCAAGATGTGGTTTGTGACTCATTTGATTTATTTTTCTTCCTTTTAAAGCACATTGTAGCCAGGATTTTGACAGCTGTTTGATGATGACGATGATGACGATGATTATGATTCCTATTTATTTAGTTATTTTTTAATTATTTATTATTATTAATAGTAGAAGTAGTATTGTGATACCATAAGACTACATTAAAGAAGCTGCATGAACTCTCAGCTCTTGATTCAATTAACTCATCATTGTAGGTCAAAATGGACTCGTGTGTCTAAATTCTAAAGTGACCTGAAAAAAAAACAACTTACATTTTAAGTTAAATTAACTTAAATTGACGACCTTCTTGCTGCGATGCAACGGTGCTAACCACTGAGCCACCGTGCAGCCCAGGCTCAATCCAGAGGTAATAAAATCCACCACATAGCACCTGTAAATCTAACATTTAACTGGTTTTATAGTATCTAGTTTGTTGGATTCAAAAAATGGTTTGTCACATAACTCCTGTACAACAGCTGGCATCTTTACACTTCAGTATTTGTACAGATTAAACCAGAAAAAAACTCTCACAAATGGCAGAATATGTGTTTAATTTCTAATAACCTGCAATCATATAAATGACAAAAACAATGACCCAAAAGTGAATTGATTCCATTGACATCTTCTATCACATTTGATGACCATAACACCAAGTTATTGGCAAGTCATCCTGTTTGCTCTCCTTCGTTAATGCGTCATTAATGCACATTCCATGTTCATGTTGTGCATAAAAAGGTCAAATCATCAAAGCTATTCTTGAAAAGACAAGTGAGACTGGACATGTGCACAAACACACTCAAGCCTTTGAATTGTAATCCATGAAGACACACTGGTGTTTCTCTTCTCTAAGTTTAGCTCTCGACAGCACCGCATGGTCTCTGCCTCTTTGTCCCACTCTGCGTCCATCAACAGCAGCTTAAGTGTTTTGGCAACAGGTCGGCACAGTCAGCAGAGCTCTTTTCGACGGTTCATCCATTATTAATGAAGAGTCAAAGGCTCCTGATGACTGTGATTATCTCTGCTGGATGGGCAGGATGAGCTGATCCCTGCAGACAAGAGCTCCTAAACACCACATCCACTGTAAACATGACGGTGGTGGTCCAGGAAAATTAGCTGTAATCAACTCCTCTCATTGTTGTTTGATGCCTCCAATGCAGTTTGTGCTCTTGTGTGGCAGTTTTAAAGGCATCATTCATTCATGAGCCTCAGTACTGCTTGTTTTTTTCTTTTTCTTTGTTTGTTTACAACAAAGAACAGGTTCAGGACTCACCCCTATGCTGTCCTCCTGTCTGTACTGCTTCCAGTTGTGTCCGGTGTCGCTGAACATCAGCAGGTAGGACGTCAGCCAATCAGAGCTGCCGTAGCGACCCTGCGTGGCGACGGCCGTGATCTTGGTCCGCTCGCCCAGGTCGACCTCTAACCACTGATATCTGTCTGAGACGAGAGGAGACCAACCTCCAGCTCCTGCAGAGAGGAAAATGAAGAAAGATTGATTTATTACATCTCAACCTATATGAGGCAAAAGACGCAGTGAGGTTTCAAATCACCTGCATGTGTGTGTGTGTGTGTGTGTGTGTGTGTGAGGAATGAATTGTCTGACCACCAAGTCACATTTTGTTGCTTCACATGCAGAATTAAACACATTTGTCTTCACACATGAAACAGTTTGAAACCCATTTGTCATCAGTTTTAAGAAAAGAGGCGGCATTTAAAGAAGCCGAGGTCGTCTAATTGCTGCTGTTTATTGCTGAGAGCGGCTCAGAATAGCCAATTTAGACAGAACACATGCTAAAGTTACATGGGTTCATTTGTCTTTATAAATCAAAGGATAGGGGGGAAAAGCTTTGCCAATTCTGAACAGTTTTCCAATTTACAAACCTGCAGCCGCTGCAGCTTTTCATCCATGTTTGTCATTTGTCTTACGTTTGATTGTCCTTTGGGGAAAAGAGCATAGCTGTTCAGCAGATGTTTGAAATGATGGATTTCACATCTTCTGACTGTCTCTGCACACAAATGCACCATATGTGGTAGTTAACCTGTAACCGGACTGCTTGATGAACTGTAATGTGGACCCTGCTTGCCACACACACAGAAAATATATAAATATGAGAAACATTGTTCACTTTTGTTGCTGTTTAATACGGCAAGAACATAAGGATCAGGACTGCAGCTATGCCAGCATCCCTGTGAGGCTTAGGGACAGTAGTTTTATAAGCAAAATGCTAATGTCAGCATGCTCACAAAGACACTGTCAACATGCTGATGTCTACAGGTACAAGGTTTACCTTGTTAGGCATCTTATTTGAGGGTTTAAGCATGCTAATTAGCACAAAGCAGAAGTGCAGAATGATGGAAATCTCATTCATTTTGCAGGTATTTGAACTTGAGTATTGGACAAAGATCATTTTGACCTGATGATGGCAGTAGAGGAAAATTAGAAGATCACCAAATCTGATGCACTTTACTTTGAGGAGGATGTGAATTTCTAAAAATAAAAGTATATGGTAATCTATCCAGTTATTGATGTATAGTTTCTGTGTGAACCGTTGGATTCCAGCATCACCAGCCAACTTTTTGTGAGCCGCACAGTTGCTTCAATTCATTTTCTTGTCCAAATGCCAGAAGAAAAACAAAAAAACGCTGCACAAAATTCAGCTCGTCCGGTGTTTTTAGATGCTTGTGTCTTCAATTACTGGAGCGGTTTTTGCTCTCAAACGTCTCGACACGCTCAAAGCAAGGTCCCTGGCTCGCATCTCCTTTAACCTCACTGCTGAAATGCTCCACTCCCGACAAATAACAAGCCAGCACGCACTGTTGTGGAGCCCATTAGATCATTTCCCACACGAAACATCATCAGTAAGAGGCTGCAGCGCCGTGCATTGATTCGCTGCCCAGAATGCCAGATCATTTCACCAAATATAGCACTACTAAGAGGCTGTAGCCTGATCTATTGATTAGCTTTGCCTGATATTTTCATCATTTGCTCTATAAAATATCAACAATCAGAGGCTGTGGTGCCAAGAATTGATTGGTTTTACAGTGCAGGTTCCTTTCCTGTCTTATATTTCACCAATAAAGCGCAGCGCTGTAATGTATTGATCGGTTGTATTCTGGGTCAACAGGCTGAGTAATATCATAAGAGGTTTTGCCAAAACAAATGAATGCTTGTAGAAAGTTTGGTTTGTATTGGCGTGTTGCATATTATGCAGGTTGCAATGTGTCTCATCGCAAAACGCTGCCGATGAAGGAGAGGGTGAAAGCTATCGATTACCCATATACAAGCTTTGTGTCGTTAAATTTGTCTGTGTTTTCAGATGCAGAACAGTTACAAGAGAAAGACGAGGCAGGAGTCTTTGTGTATGCGTATGTGTGTGTGCGTATGTGTGTGTGCGTATGTGTGTGCAGGAAAGTGCTTTGTCAGGCCAAAGCGACGCCTCAGAGCTCAAACACCAGATGGACGATTCTGAAGGAGGAGGCTGCTGACCAGAGTCCCACTGAGCTGCACACACACACTCACAGTTTCTATCACTTCTGAGGACATTACACCGACTTACATTCATTTCTTGATTCCTCCCCACAACCCTATCTACATTTCTTTACTTCCTCATCTTTAATTGCTTTGTTACTCGCCTTTTCTCTGTAAAAGGGAGGTCGGTCTCCATTATGTGAGAGGGTAAACAGCGCAAGAGATTCTAATAGAGATGCTTAAACACACACCACCATTTATACAAAAAAAAAAAGAGTGAGTAGGAGACGCTGCACATGAACATTTGGAGTCCACTAGCTCCTGAAAAGCATAAAAATACCACCAGGCTGTTGTATGTTCTTTGTTGCAGCAGCAGGAAGCCAACATTTTAAAACAAAGCTCCAAACGAAATCCATGTGAAGCCTCCAGGGGACGGTGCTGGGTTATTTTGGTGGAGGGGCAGAAATCAGAGCAGCAGCCCATGTGCTACCCTTGAGTCCAGAGAGCTTTGATGCCACACAAAGCCTCATTTTCGTGTCATTTGTTTGTTACAGGAGTCAGTCAAACGGCTGGTGTCATAGAAACCCAACACGCAGGAGCAACCGGCAACTTGCTCAGACAAGGCACTAAAAGTAGATCAGCTGTTAAATCCAACTTTCAAGCATCCAGTTCAACACGATACACCTGCACTGGTGCTGATACCAAAGCAGTCTGCTTGGTAATCTCAACTTTACCCTACTTACCCGGCAAAATGTTCTAGCACAGTATCTTGCCACAACACCTGACCCTATTGAACAGCATTCAAACCAACCAGAAGTCTGATGGAAGCAAAAATCATGGAGGCTGTCAAGGGCTAACTGCAAACTCTTTACTCTGCAGTCTTGACATTTTGTCCATGAAAATCCAAAAATTGAACTCATGACAAGCGCATACCTTACAAAATGCTTCGAACTTATAATATATCATAGTTCAAACATCTCTTATACAAAGTACTCTCAAGTTCTTTTATCTTAAGTGGAAGGCTGTAGTGCCACCGAATGCTGTCACAATAAAAATCATTTTCCAGAAGTAAAAGCACGTATTATGGAGAATGACCATTTCAAAATAAAGTGTAGTATTACATTACTGGATTGCAGCCAAACATACAGTAATGTGTGCATCACTTTGCTGCTGCAGCTGAAAAAAAAGGGCTAATTTTAATGATGTGCATGTTGTTTAATACAAAAGTAGAACTTTTTTTTTTTAAAAGCCTTGGAATCATAATGTAAGTATAAAAAACAGAAGATGGAAACATTCATGCAAAAAACCAGCATCCCAAAACTTACAGAAAGCCCCATTTGGTGAATATCAAGTATTTTACTTCGTTATCATATGCAAATGGTGTTTTTCTATATGCAAGAAGACATATCATCAGCAAAATAAACAGTTAACGGCATTGCTAAGCATGTCGATTTTGTAACTGCACTGAACCAATGACAGTCTCAAAAATACAAAATCAGACTTCCAAGGTTTCACAAGTAACAAACCCAAAGAAACAGGAGCGGTAGGAGCTGTAGGTGAGCTGGTGTGCTGAGCAGAGGAGGTGTGGGTGAAAAGAAAGATAAAGACTTCATACAGCTGCACAATTTAGAGGAAGCACCAGTGTAGAGTTCCTTCTAAATCACTTAAAGGCAGGAAGAGATTATTTTCATAAGGCAAAACTTTACATATGTATATATAATGTCATTTTAATGCACATACATTGTGTTTCTAAGCCCCCTAATGACCAGAGCGGGAGTTTACAAATAACGGGAATATGTTCCACCTTTGGCACTTCAATTTCTCAGAGTAAAAGCTACAAAACTACCACAAGTCCACAATGCACAATTACACTGGATGAGCAAACTTTCATGGCTCAACAGTTCCCTTGCAGGAGTCAAGAGCTGCTCCATTGTCTCACAACCAGGACAGAATTTGCATTCATCAAGCGACTGGAGCCTCCTTTCCAGCTCCCTGGCATTGCTCAGCTTTTCCAGGACACCGAGCAGTGTCATTCCTCAATAACTGGAGCTTCACCGACCCAGAACTCTCCCACATCCCTACAAGACAAACGCCATCTCACTGCAGCGCCTCTGGGTTAAGCACATGCCAGTCACCTCTGTTCTCCCATGTTTCCTGTTTGTTTGTTTGTTTGTTTTACCTAAACTTACTTGTTAAACCATTAAAGAAGATAATACAACAATCAAGAGAGAAAATCTATATTTTCACAACATCTTGGGAAGCAGAGGCTGGTGGTACATACCACGATAGCAAAAGGTCATGTCTGCAGCCAAAGCACCTGCATTCATCATCTTGAAATGGATATATGGTTTACGGCTCACGGCATTTTTGTGTGTTCTGTTTGGGTGGTGCAACAGGAACATGCACAGTTTCTGTATTTTCTTTACTTTGTGAACAATGTAAAAAGGACTCCTGGCGGCAGGTCGAGCAGAAAAGCTTGCGGTGAAAATAAATCAGTGTCGGTCTGGTGGCTGGTGGAGGCTGATCTTTAAAGAGCTAAAGGCCAAAGCTAATAAGCACTTGACTAACAGACGTGTCCAGTGACAGCAGAACAGAAAAGAGCGGACACTCTGACCTTTACTCATGACGATTAGAGTGAAAGAGATCAGAGGAAATGACTCAGAGACTAAGAGGCGTTACAAAAATTTACTGTGTCCACCCTGTCAGATATAATTGAAACAGGGGTGAACTTTATGGCTGACGGTCCAAACTCTTCCTGCCACAGCTTTCACTTTAAATCAAAGACGTCTCCATGGTTTCTGTCAACCAACCAGCTCTGACCACCCACTGAGAAATACAGTCACAGTTAATGACAGTCAGAAGGAGGACATCACTGCTCCGTCAGCCACAAAGCTGCAGCGATCTGCCGGCTGAGCAGCGAGACAGCTGCCGGTGGCAAAGCAAAACTAATTACAGCATTTCTGCAATAAAATAAAAGAACATTTTAGCTGCTTTCATT